TACATTATGAGTCAATAAAAACACCCTTTGTCCAAAACATATTCAAAAGACACACATAGTTCATCTACATCATCACACAGTTATCTGCAGGATTAGGCGCCCAAGAAGCTAGCAAAATTAGAATGTAGTCCCTTGATATGTGTTAAGGTCGCTCTTTTCTATCTAGTTCGTCCACCGAGTCACTATAGTTGCTTGTCAGAACGGACACATAGTTCATCTTCGGGTGCTAACTCCCTATTTCAAGTTCAACAACTGTCGCGTAAGTACATGGCAATGGCAGGACACCTCCGATCTCAGCCAAGGAAGTGTGGGTTGGGGTCATCTTTCTCTCGGGGTCTGGCCCTTGGGGGCCCCTCTTCTCATCACTCAAAGGTACAAAATGTAAAATTCATAAAAAGTACTCACTCTGTCCTATAATGTAAGAGTGGCAAAAAAAAAACGTCTTATATTATGAAACGGAGGGAGTAGAAGTCATTTGCTTTAATCCAAAGCATAAAGAAAGACATGCGTAGTCTTTGGAACAAAGAACTTTACTATATCTAAAAAATAAAGCGCTTCTACGAACACGTCTTCCTCAGTAGTAGACATATTTGTGTTGTTGCTCTGACATGTAGTATAGCCGCTAACAACATGCCCGGCAGGGGCGGATCCAGGCCCCAGGCCTGGGGCGTGAGGCCCATACGCAGTGTATATTCTAGCAGGTACTGTATACATCTGCTACAGTGTACAAAGGTGGCCCGGGGCGGCCCACTGGGCTGGCTCCGCCCATGATGCCCGGTGCATGGTACCGTGACTACCGGAAAAAACTAAATGATTGCCACAAACGCCACACCATCTACAACGCCGCAAGGTTTGTGATTGAGGAAAAATCGTCGGTGCCGGTTTTTCCCTTTAGCCCTGATGGAGTTATTTTACCTCTCAAGTTCTCGATCGAGCTCCCCCCTTGATGCTTGTCCATGTCAAATCTTCGCAAGATCTGAACGTCTCATATCCATAACAGTGCGTGAGGCGTGCACCATGCATCTGGGGAGGCGCCCAAGAAGCTAGACAGATGAGGAGTTTGGTACAGAAGCTTGTTGGGGAAGAAATTAAAGGAGGGTGGCACAGAAGCATGGACGCAAAACTGTGCAGACTTCATTATCACTGGGAAAGTTCGAGGAAGCGCGGGAAGCACACGACCACGTTGGGCTGGCTATGCTGTGTTTATACTTTTGGACTGGATTGCTAATCTGGCCAGAAATTATGTGTGTGCCATGTCCTTTTTCTTGGGAATTCCCTAACGGACGCACGTTGCGTCAAGATGTCGACGTTTCCCATCTTAGCTGTTTAGCATGTACTCGGATCCTGGTTTTGAGAACGTTCAAACTCCGGTTTATTCTGGTAAACAATTTTGTCCGGTTTCCCGTTGTTGTTTTTGTTTTTTTACTTTAACTTTTACCTTTTCGATTACTTGTTTCTTTTTTCTTTTCACTTTTTGTTTTCTTTTTTATTTTATTTTTTCGTATTTTCTTTTTCAGGTTGACTTCTCTTTTAATATTTTTTTCACAATTTTCAAATTTTGTTCAGATTTTCAAAAAAATTCCTCCTTTTTTTTCATATAATCAAAAAATATTCTCATACCAAAAAATGTACAGGAATTTAAAAAACTATTCTTGTCTTTAAATTTTGTTCACAAGTTGAAAAAATGTTCAGGAATTCCAAAGATTTTTTTATTGTTCACAAGTTGAAAAATTATTCATTTTTTAAAAAATGTTCAGGTATTTTTGTGGTTTCAAATTTTGTCAGAAATTAAAAAAAGTTCGAATTTTAGAAAATGTTCAAGAACTTAAAAAATGTTCACGATTTCAATATTTTTTATTGAAATTTCATAAAATGTTCCATTATTTCGTGATTACAAATTTTGGTCGGAAGTTCAATAAATGTTTGCGTTTCAAAAATGTTCAAGAATTTTTGAAAAATGTTAACAATTTGTAACAGTTCGGAATTTCATGAAATGTTCCATTTTAAAGTTTTTGTTCATAAATTCAAAAAATATTCACGATTTCATTTTTTTCCAATTATCATGAAATGTGTCCACTTTTCAAATTTTTTTGTTGAAAAAATAAAAAATTGTTCGCGGTTTCAACATTTGTTCAGAATTTCATAATTTGTTCATAAATTCAGAAAATGTTTATGTTTTTCAGAAAACAATATTTTTGTTCCCTTTTCTACTTTTTCAATTTTTGTTCACATATTCAAAAAATGTTCCTGTCTCCGGTTTTTCTTCTTCTGGAATTACATAAATGTTGCTACTTTTTGAAAATATACATTAAAAACAAGTTCAACCCAGTAACTAATTCAGATTCGCTACAATAGCTACTGTCGGTTCGCTACAGTATATACCATTCCGGTTCCACATCTATGGTTAGTTCTTTAAGGGATGCACTGCTTTATTAACAACAGTACTCGTTAGCCCGAGTGGCTAGTAGTGCGTGATTGTAAGCAGTTGGTCTCCGGTTAGATTCCTGGGTCGTGCGTGTTTCCTTTTTCGTGCTATATTTTCCGTCCCGCGGTAGAACTCGATGGGCCAGCCCAGTCAAGTCTCTCTCTGTGCGTCAGGCCACCAATTTGACGCAAAGCGTGTCAAATAGGGGCTCCCTTTTTCTTGGGCTTGAGGTTGGTTCCATTCAAATCATGCAAATTAGAGTCCAAAACAAGGGCAAAAGAGTTTGAAAAAGTAGATACGATGGAGACATATCAGTGCACTTGCTTAAAATTGCTCGCATGGTACTGATCAGACGCCTAGAATTTTTCCAGGCCTCGATCACATTCCATGCAGCTCTGCAGGTGACCAGGGAAGTGATTGACCGGATCGGGTTAGTGTGGGGGTTTGTGAGGCAGGAGGAAGAATGTGCGACGTCAGAGGGGATTTCTGCGGGAGGAGGTAGAAGGTGTGGCGCGGTCGGACTCTGATTGGAGGCGAAGAAAAATGACCGAAAGCAAAAGAAATAGAATAACGCCAATCACCTTTGAAATAGTGAGTCCCTTAAAATTATAAAATTGAAGCGCATGCACCGTGGCACGATCTCATGTAGGCCTGCTCTTCAATTTGGCACTCGCTTTAATGTGTGCCTGAAGCGGCTTTCCCCCCTTCCATGGAGAAAGGAACGCTGGCTAAAAGCAGCTCTAGCAAAGTCGTCAAATCACACCCTCTAAAAACAGTTGTGGAGTGACCTGCATTTTCCGCAGGCTGGGACCTTGCGTGTAAATTCAGTGTTGCCAAAACAGGATCTATATATTTATGGATCCACCTGTGAGCGTATGTGTCGTATGTGTCGTTTGTACCCAAATCTTTCTCATGTATGTCTGTGATCTCGTCTCTTCTTTTTGTTCCACTTACACAATTTTTATATGCATGTTCCCCAAAATAGGATGTTCAACACCACGTACAAGGTATTGACATTTCAAGTAATTTCAGTGATATGGAACGAGAAACTTAAAACGCGGTTTTATTTTGCTGGCAACCGCCATTTTGGAGACCTCAAGGGAGAGGGACTTAGTTAGGCTGCTTCGACTTGGCCTTGGATGCGTTCCAAGCATCAACGAGCGTCTTGGATGCGGGAGGTGGCCACAACGGCTTTGTTCTTCATATCGGCTGCTTCGACTTCATGGCGAATATCGACTCCATCGGGTAACATGACCACGACGCTCCGATGTGATCATTCTTTTTCCAGCCAGCTCACTTTCTAGGAGTATTAGAAATTCAACTGAGGTTCCCATGTTGGCACACCAAGGAAAATAGAGACAACTACTCTCCGGAATAACTTGAAGAAACCATTGTCTGGTTTCCTAATCCTTAACGTCGATGCGTCTTTCTCTGATGATGATAACGGTGGTTCTTGTGGAGCTGTCATTCGTGATCATACTAGAGACTTTACTCCAGCAGCTGTTGCTGGAACGGAACATGTAGCTGACGTGGTTACTGTTGAATCGGAAGCGCCATGTCAAAGACTTTTGCTCCTTCAGTCAGGGATGTGAGAAGGTGGTTGTCGAAACTCATAACGTGACTATGGTTGATGCATTGAATGGAAACGAGGATTACTCGTTGGTGGGCTGCACCGATCCTCAATGAATGTCGAAGTCTACTTGCGAATTTCGGGAAGGTCTTTATTGAACATTGTATAGTCGAACATGGTTGCCCATGAGCTAGCTAGTTTTGGGAGGTCTAATCCACCGATGTTGTGATCGGATACACATCCAGGTTTTATTTTATCTTAATGAGTAGACGATGTAGGTGTGATTTAAGTTAATAAAAGCTAGCCATGAAGGCATTCGTATAAAAAAAAATCAACTGTGGCAAGATGTGATATGTGAGCCGCGTATATTGACTCCACCGGGTAACATAATGATGAGACGAGTTTCTTTTTTTTTGAAAAAGGAGGAATACCCCGGCCTCGGCATCGCAATGATGCATGCAACCATATTATTAAAGTCCCCATCGTGTATACGACGTGACGAGTTAAGGTTAAATTCATTTTGCGAAACCGACGTGTCTGTCATGTGGTACAAGATACAAATCAAGACAGAATTGTAGGCCTACCACCATGTGGTAATAAACCGACGTGTTTGTCATACCACCAGAAAGAGAACAGAAGCATATAACCATGCTCCTGTATGTAATCCAGCTCGGATAGTTCCTGAACTGGAGGGTGTCCGGCCGTGTGGGAAACACCTTGTATATGCGGGCGGCTTTGGGTTTGGGTTTTGTTGGATGTGCTGCAGATCGTTCGGCGTTCCACACGAAGTTGACACTTCACCCGATCACCATCAGGTCCGAACATTCTAGTATAAGAAGAGCCTCCCCCATGGACATGGAGAACATCGTCATCACACGCACACACACACACACACACACACACACACACACACACACACACACACACACACTCTTCACAAGTTCCCACTGTTTCCTGTCCCTCTTGAGTTGAGTCTCTCCCGGCCGGCCTTTCCCCTCCTGCCAGATGGCCCAGGTACGCCAGTTTGAGAGTGTCTTCTCCCTCGATTCCTTCAGTTTTAGCATGTTAAGTCGATCATGGCGTCAGTGAAATCCATGAGTATTGGGAGCGAGAACATACTCCTGGGGAAATGTTTGTTCACTGCTCGCTTCCTTGATTGTGCTGCATGTAGAAGGTGGTGCTGAGGATTCCCACCATGACCGACGAGAAGACCAAGCAGAAAGCCATGGAGGCCGTCGCCGACATCTACGGTACGTAAGCGCACCCCATGAATTTTCCTCCCGTTGCTGCTTCGATTGATCTTTTGAATCTCACAAAGGAAGGGGGCAGAAAAATCTCCTCCCATGCTTCCCGGCTCCCGGCCATTCATCGTCAGTTCATCTTTCCATCTTGTGGTATTTCTGGAACCATAGCTGAATTTCGCAAGGATGCATGAATTATTGCTAGGCGATAATGCGATATTCGATCGCGATGCCTGATCAGACGTGGCTGGGCAGGTAAGTCAATCTGTAGGGCCATAAGCTACATGCATGCCTGTACCATAGTACGAAAATGGCTTTACTCTTGTGTTTGTTTGATGAGCCAAGTTGGTAGAACTACACATGGGTCCTTTCCTCCTCTGTCCTTCGTATACTGTGAGTGGGTGGGCATGACCCGAGATCTCTTCGGTCAGATCCTCGCACAAAAGGTCAAAATCCTCACACTATAATATGCTTGTAATCATAGCGCAGATTCAAATCAATAAATGGATTCTAAAAAAAAGAGGTGTAATCAATCAATGAACATGATTTCTATAGCTTAATCAATGAGCATATATAGTTTTGTTGCATCTAATCATAGTGCAGATACAACCAATCAACCAGCATGAATGAACTCATTCCTTTTAATTTTTCTACTCGTGGTTGGTTGAAGGTATCGACTCGATAGCCGCGGACCTCAAGGACAACAAGATGACCGTCATCGGCGCCATGGACACCGTAGCCATCGCCAAGAGGCTCAAGAAGCTCGGCAAGATCGACATCGTCTCGGTCGGCCCGGCCAAGGAGGAGAAGAAGCCGGCACCGGCTGCGGAGAAGAAGGGCGAGGAGAAGAAGGATGACAAGAAAGAGGAGAAGAAAGACGACAAGAAGGCCGACAAGAAGTGAAAGCAACCCATTGCAGAAGGAGGTAGAAGGAGAAACACAACACCACCACGCAAACGGCAGCAACAACAAAAAGTCTTTGACATCTGAGGCTCTGATGGAGTGCTAGATAGCTAATTATAATCTCCTCTGCGAAATGAGATCACTTTGTACTGTACCGGTATATATAGTGCACTAGAGACATCATGTCAAATCAAATATGACCCTGGGTTTGCCTGATTGGTGATGACATGGAACCTACTCGATCAGCCAACTTCAGGCAATTTTTCAGAATTCAGATATCAGTTTTTTAGGTGTGTGAACCTGAGCTGGCCTGTGACAGAGACTGGTTATCTGCCACCTTCGGTCGTTGCAATGGCGCAAAAAAAAAAAAATGGAAGCAGTGTCAGTGTGGCCTTTCCCCTAACTCCAAGTTGCCGCAGGCCCAAGTATATCCCGCTTTGCTCACAGTCTTTGATCTATCACGATTACTACTCCTCGAGGTCTCAAGGGGAAAAAAGAGAGGAGCCGTTGGCTTTGGGTAAGGAAATTTTTGCTGACTTTAATTTTGTTTGTACGAACTCTGAAATATGTTCATAAATACTAAATAAAGTATTACACGAATGAAAAGTATTCCATAGAATCACAATAAAAATGACTTCTACATATTTTTTTCAATATACTTGAAAGTGCTCATATATTTCAAAACAAATGTCCATGAGTATAAAAAACAAGTTAATGTATTAACTGTTCAAGAATTGTTTTGTAAAAATAAGACAATAAAAAATTCAAACGGATTTTTTTTTTGGCAAATGGTGGATTTTCTTAACTCAAATGAAGCACCAAGCAGATACAAAGCATAATGAGCACACACCCGGCCTCAGCATAACTAGGAGTACGCCGCCAATATCAATGCACACACAAGAAAACCACACCGACAAAAAGCAAAGTCATACAAGACCAAAGTTATGCGTAAGCCAATAAAAAGGGAAAAACCTTGGGGCGATCGTCAAACTACAACAATGACCATACCCGCACAATCCAACTTTTTATACCACAAGGACAATGAGATTTCTCAACATCAACGTCTTCAAGAAGGGAATGATGCACAAGCACTGCCGTCACAGAATAAACGGAAAATAAATAAGAGAAGATGAGAGTAAAACTAACAAAGCACTTATTGGGCTGAAGGGCTCCCGCTTCTTTGCCTTTAGCAAAGGGTATGGCATAAATCAACTGAAAATCATCTAAATGGGCCGAAAAGTGCATGCAGAGGCCGAGCTCCATTGAGCACTACACTTTCTATTTAGCGAAGATACCTTTTGCACATCTAAAGAAAAACTGAAAAAAGTTTTCATGTAGACATATAATTTTGTTATACATCTGTAAATTTCATGAACATATATATTCATATGTGATGTACACAAAAAAGTCAAATACACAGATTAAAATAGGGGTTTTCTTTGTTGTATTTGGGCCAAATATTTGTCTTTTTTTGTGTAGCATCCAAATAATCAAATTAGTTGATGAAATTTCGTACATACTTGCATAAAATGCATGTGTATTAGTAGGAAAATATTTGTCATTTTTTGAAACTATTAAATATATTTTGATTTTTTGTTTTTGCAAAACGAGCTCCATGGAGCTCGGCCTTTGCAACGCCACACTCCTAAATGGACCGTCTACTAGGGCTGCCAATTACAGATATTTTTTATGTGTTGTTAAACATCGAAAACCATGTTTTCATTTTTTGCACACTTAAAACTATCATTATAAATAAACTGATAATGGAAATTGTTTGTATATTATGGAATAGTGTCGTGCATTTAAAAGTAGATATTCATGAGTTTCAAAAGAAATGTTCATGTACTTCAGAAAACTATTTCCATAGCTCCATGGAGAAGTTCATGTATTCCATATCAAAATGTCCATGCATATGAAAATAAAATCTTTATGACTTCAATAAATCACATAGTTAAAGTAAATGTTCACATACTACCAAAATGTTCAACTGTTTGCTAAAACAAGATGTAAATGAAAAATAAAATTAAACTTATAAAAATAGAAACTACAAAAATAAAACCTGACTATGGGCAGTATGATTTGATATATACTCTTTGCAATAACTTTATAATAGGTTCACTAATAAAATTTATATCTCCGGAATTGCGATATATAGCAAGCACATGCGAATGCGCACGTGCACAATTACCTCAACCCAGCAGACTTGTTTTGGTTTTTATTGTTTGTTGTTTTCTTTTCAATTTCCGTTATTTTTTCCTTTTTCTGTGTTTGCTATAATTTATCTTTTTTGATTGTCATATTTAACATATTTTTTCTTATTTCTTGTGTTTAATGTCTCCCATTTTTATCTTCTTTCCTTCTTTTTGTTTTTTCTGTTTGACCATTTCTTTTTAGTTTTGGTATATCATATTTTGGTAACGTACATTAACACTAACATTTTTCGAAAAATCCATCTTTTTAAAATGTACAAAGATTTTACGGAAAAGGATAACACTTTTTAAAATTTAAGCGAATTTCATAAAAATATGTGAACAATTTTTGTATTAATTATATTTGACAATTTTTGTATTAATTATATTTTTTGTCAAATAAGTGAGTACTTTTTGAAGTTAAATGAACACATTTTAGAAGAGCTCTGCCCTTTGTAATGCTGCATTATTCTTTGGGAAAAATATGTGAACATTTATTTATTGACATAAACATCCCTAAAAAAATGTGTGAAAACGTTTTATATATACATTATCACTTTAAAATCTGAGAACACTTTTTCAGTCACATGATAATTTTTGAATGCGTAAATACTTTTTGGTTACATGAATGTTGTTTAGAAAATACGTGTATATTTCATGCAGTATGTAAACATTTTTAGAAGTACATAAATAATTTACTTGTTTAGACGTGCATATATGTTTTACAACAAATCATTTTTACCTACCAATCGCGGACGTAAATGATATTGGGTTGTCCCATTAACAGGTATTTCTCCTTTTCTTCGTAAGTTGTGAAAGCATATTGGTCTGGCTAATATTCATGCACTTTCAAAAAATGATTACAGAATTTCTGAAAAGCCAAAATGTGAAAAAAAAACGAAAAGGATAAGTAGAAAAAAAATCAGAACCTGTGGAGAAAAATAGAAATGGAGAACCCGCAATAAAAATCAGTAGAACCAACTATAACTACATATGATACTCTCGTCTGTGTGTTTCAGCGACAATTTATCGCAGCGGGCAGAATACGAAATTCTCTTAGTTTTGTGCTTTGTCCACGCCACGCCCCTAAGCCTAAGGAAAACATTTTGGCCCGTGCGAGATTTGTAAGACGATTACCAAACCAACCAGTAACTATTTTTAAGACGATTACATTAGCGGCCATATAGCTGCATTTTCTGAACCGTTAGCGGCACAATTTGTAAGACAATTACCAAACCAACCAGTAACTATTTCTAACCTGAAAAATGTAGAAACAACCGATCGACGCTAGTTTTAGATATAAGTTACTTTAAAGAAGGAAAACAAATAAACGGAAGTAAGGCTAAGCTGTATTACAAAGATATAGCCATCCGATTAATGGTTTGGGCAGCATTGTTCAGGTTTTGATTTGTGTTCCGTGATCAGCACCTAATTCGTACCATGGTCAGAACACGTGGTATTTAAGATATATGGTGGAAGAAGACCTTCCGATCGAAGTAAAGCATCACGAGAACAATATTTTCATAGAAAACAACATCACAAAAGATATAACAAGGCCAACAATAGGTGGAGGCGTATCCACTTGAGAAAGGATGCGTGTGTGCTGATATCTCTACCTCAACTGATCAAGATTACAACAAACTCAGCACACATGCAGTAGTGTCCGCCCTATAGACTACTCTGGAAGCCCATGGTTTACACACTATATGTTGGTTTGTACAAATTCCAACACTCTTCCTCAATCACAACTTTATCAAGTTGAGATTGTTCCTAAAGTTCTCGATAGGATACGTTAGACAATGGCTTTGGAAACACATGTACAACTTGTGCCGGGATGCGTAAGCGTTGATATAAGGTGCCAGTTTGGCTTGATTAAGGAGTTCGTTTGAGACGTGGATTGGATGCCAAGTTAGCTATAAGATAAGGATCCTATCTCTCTCCCAATCAGATCTGCATCAGCCGCGCATGGTATAAGGCCGCAACTGATGATCTCAATCCTTTAAGCTTGGCTGTGTATGGTAAACAAAACCAAAATCAGTTCACAAAGCGCCCTTTCTGACTGGACAAGCTTGTTTCTGACATATCTGATTGGAAAAGCTAGGTTCACTGGCCTCGTTATCGGCGGAGACATCTTTTTTCTAGTATAAATAGACCCCTTAATTAAGCTCAATGCCATATCCAGCAAACCATTTGTTGGAGAGCATCATCCATAGCCAGCAGCCACAATGGAAGCGAGCGTGCAACAAGGCAACTATGTCCAAGTCTACGTCATGCTCCCAGTAAGTACCATCCATTCAACTCAATCTCTAAGCACCATGCACTACACCCATTTCAAGGATATAATTCACACATGCAATGGTGTACATATAATACCGTCATTCGTAACACTCTAGTTCAAAAGGGTGAAATCAACAAGATCTGAGGCCTCAAATGAGTATTTCATTTGTACTAACATTGACTTCGTTTTCGTTGTGGAAATAAATAGCTGGACGCGGTGAGCGTGAACAACAGGTTCGAGAAGGGTGACGAGCTCAGGCCGCAGCTGAAGAGGCTGGTAGACGCCGGTGTGGATGGCGTCATGGTAGACGTCTGGTGGGGCTTGGTGGAGGCCAAGGGCCCTAGGGTCTACGACTGGTCCGCCTACAAGCAGTTGTTCAAGCTGGTGCATGAGGCTGGACTGAAGCTACAGGCCATCATGTCACTCCACCAGTGCGGTGGCAACGTCGGCGACGTCGTCAACATCCCGATCCCGCAGTGGGTGCGGGACGTCGGTGCGAGTGATCCGGACATTTTCTACACCGACCAGCACGGGACTAGGAACATTGAGTACCTCACCCTTGGAGTTGATGACCAGCCTCTCTTCCATGGAAGATCCGCCGTGCAGGTTAATTAATTTAAACCACCACTCTAGCTCTCTTGCAGTACTTATATTTTTTTTCATTCAAATGTGTGTGTTTTTGTGTATATTGGAGATAAAAATTCATGATGAATCCAAATACAAGCAAAAGCCAAAATGTGCCAATAATATATAACAAAAGAAACGAAATCTAGCTAGTGAAAAGAATTAGACCTAATCAGTAAGAACAAATAGTTTTGATTTTGTTAGGTACAATGTGCTGATGGTAGAAAGCTTTGATTCTTCTGTGTGGCTGTGACAGATGTATGCCGATTACATGGCAAGCTTCAGGGACAACATGAAAGAGTTCTTGGATGCCGGTGTTATTGTAGACATTGAAGTCGGACTTGGCCCAGCTGGAGAGTTGAGGTACCCATCGTATCCTCAGAGCCACGGATGGTCATTCCCAGGCATCGGAGAATTCATCGTGAGTGTTTCTAAATATGTTTCCTTCTGTTTCGACCAATTTACTTTTGCGTGTAACATTGATGACCAAATGCTGTTTAGTATTGTCCAAAGTGACGATCTACATTAGAGAAGTTTCTTCAACAAACCAACACCCAAATGAAAAGTGATTCTTGTAAAAAAAAATGCAAGGATAAAATGGCAATTTCAGATCAGAACAAGGCCTGGCTAAACCCGTGAAAATGGACAAAACTGACCCTTTTCCGAAACTTCAAAACAAAATGGCCCCAGTCTGTTTTTTTCCCACAAAGTGGCCCTTTTGCATGACGCCTGGGCCATGCTATTTGGCATGGTGCCCTAGCCCGGGGCGCCATGCTATTTGGCATGGTGCCCTAGCCCGGGGCACCATGCTACATGTCGCAACCATGGCACCCTGGCCCGGGGCGTCATGCTCTCTAGCATGGCGCCCCAGCCCGTCATGCAAAAGAGGGCCATTTTGTGAAATATTTTAAGATTGGGTTCATTTTGTGTTGAAGTTTGAGAAAAGGGGCTACTTTGTCCATTTTCACGCTAAACCCGACTTCATGAGTTCTGCTATCCTATACCCCAATCCCAATTTTCTCTTCTATTTCTCCTAAATAAGACATCATACAAACTTGACACATTCGAACTACAATACGTGAAAAGTATAGGACTCGTTTGTGCAACATAAATACTTAAAATGATATTTTTATTGGTAAAAGACTAATTTTATATATTTATGCTAGACCAAAAAATCCAAAATGGTTTTCTGCTCATTGTAGTCCCAATGATTCATTGACCGCAAATATTTCAAGTTCATATATTATTTTTTTGGAAGAAACAAAAGAAGATGTATCTATATGGAGAGAATAGTCAGCTAGCACATA